CTTCCTCCTCCCCTCTCCCCCTCCCCCTCCCCATCCTCCTCCTCCTCCTCCTCCACTCCCCTCCAAGCCTGAGCTCCACATTCCTCTACCTGCAGCCCCAGTGAGACACTCTCCCTCTGCCAAGCATGCTAACACTTTCTTCTTATCTGCTCTACAGAGAAAACCCAGCTACCAACACAGACCACACTGACAACACACAGTGGCACACTTGTGTGTAACTGTATTTGTGCTGCATGTGCATGTGGACATGTGTTCACACAAGCATCTGAATTGTATAATACTTGCGCGCATTTTAAATACTCAGAGACCAAGCCATCAGATTATGCTGTTTATTAAGGATCAAATGGGGCTGCTTTAAGGAGTACAGGAGAAGTAACAGTGTCCCCTCTTCTTTGGTTCTGGGTACAAGAGGGCGAAGACAGAAACCCTTTGTTGTGGTTGGTTCCACTCAAAGTGAAACTGTGCCGGTGGGGTGGGCTGGCTACTCTCGCTTGGTTGTCTGCTAGTCCTCTTCTTGGACACAGAGCTAGCTTGTTCATAGGCAGGAGCTAGGACAAAAGTCCAGTAGGCGAGGACGCCTAGACTGGCAGGCAGCATGTTGAGCACAGAGGCAAAGGCTGACAGAGAGGACAGGCTGAAGTGGAGCTGAGCTGAGGTGAAGCTAGAGCTCCCCCAGAGTGTGCACTGAAAGTGCACCTGTCCTGGTAATCCAGAGCTGTCCCGGCTCAGAAGACACTGGAGGGAGAAAGGGGCTGGCCAAATCCAGGGATCCAGGAGCAGTGGGAAGGGGTCATAGGGGAGACACTAAGCTTGGGCACAGGGGGTCCTGAGGGAAGGAGGGCACAGGCTGTCCTCTACCGACCACCTTTCTTGGAGGAGGTGCTCAGGCTGGAACCCTTCGCTAGAGTATCCTTGTAGTCACTGGCACTGCCTCGGCTCCGGCTTTCCCCACCACGGACACTGCACACTCCAGAGATGCAGCTGGTGCTGTTGGCTACATAGCCACCGCTGACAGTGCTGGGCCGGAAGCCATAGCCTCCGCTGCCGCTGGTGCTGCTGATGATGGCTGCAAAGGGAGAGCTGGGCTCAACGCCACCTCATCAGAGCTGGGCAGAGAGACTCTCCTTTCCCCAAGACAGACATGGCTCTTCTAGGACCTAGTCACAGCCATTCCCTCTCCCCTAGAGAGAATATCCCAAAGGCCCTTTCCCCCACTTTCTGTTCTTGGTTCATTCAGCTTACACCCAATGTGGCTGAGTCTTAGCCTACTGATGCTCAGAAGTCCATCTCCTTCAAGCAGGTGCCCACGCACCCACTTGTCCTGGACACCCACCACTGTCCCTCCTGTCAGTGGCTTTACTAAATGTCCTGTCTCCAATGTCTCTCCCCTGCTGGCTCCCCACAGACAGCAACTTCTGGAAAGCTCTGGTTTAACTCTGGTTTAGCTTTCTAGTCCTACCAAGAGACCCAGATTCAATACTGCCAGCTTGAGGTTCCCTTCTGGAATCCCTTCACCCACATCTCAAGTCCCCTGCCCAGATATGATTGCAACTTGCAAACCCAGTCTCCTAAGCCTTAGCACAGACCCACGATCACTGTCTCAGAACATGCCCTTTGTTTCCCATCTCCCATGGCAATGGCCATCCCTCACTACCATCCTCTGGGAAGCAGAATGATAAGGTTAAAAGAGCCATGGGGTGGCAGGAAATTGGGAGATCTGGGCTGTGGCCATGGCTTTGCCATCTGGCTTTGTGATCTCAGCAAAGCTTTTCCCTCTCTGATTCTTAGATTCCTTCATCTGTACACACAGGGTGTGACTACAACTTTAATCCAAACACACTTCTACAACTTCAGTCCAAGCACACAAGTACTTACAGATGCTGACAGGGGAAGGGTATTCTCCTGACATCCTGTTAAAAGAGGAAAATAAAATGAGAAGGGACATCTGCAGAGTCTTCAAAGCCACTCTCCCCGGCCAGCCTGATACAGGCTTCTGAACACAGGGGCACTTGTAGAAACTTCAGCACTGTCTTGGCCCAAGCAGTCTAAGAAGCTTTGGAAGAGAGCCCTGAATCTTTGGGGTAAACAGGCAACAAGATGGACCAAATAATAGTTTTCAGGAGGCATGTGTTTGAGGGCAGTCCGTCCCCCTTCCCAGTGTCAGGCCACAGCAAGGCTTCTCTTTCCTTAGCACACCAGGGACATCTCTGTGTCCTGAAGTAGCTGGCCTGGCACACCTCTGCCAAGCTCACAGTGTATCCAGGCAGGTAAGGAAGATGGACCAAGGACCCTAACAGAGGAACAAGGTTCAGGGGAAGTGGAATGCTCCCAGACATACTAGGGAGGCTGTGAGTGATGAATGAACTGTGGATATGGCTACTTCTGTTTTGTTTTGTTTTGTTTTACTTTGTTGTTTGTTTGTTTGTTTGTTTGTTTGTTTGAGACAGGGTCCCATGTAGCCCAGGCTGGCTTCAAACTCACTATGTAGTCATGTATGACCTTGAACTTCTGATCTTCCTACCTCTACCTCGGAAGTGCCGAGATTACAGGCCTGAGTTACCACACTGGGTTTTATGTGATTATAGGAATCAAACTCATGGCTTCACACTTGCTAAGCAAGAGAACTCTATCAACTGAGCTATACCTCCAGCCTGACTGATGCTACCGATTGCTATTTTTGTTCCTATTGTCATCACCCCACTGATCCCCAAGAGCTTGTGTTTTCTGGATAAATATGTGCAGATTTTCTCCTTTGGTTCTTTGGTGGCGTCTTACCTGAGCACACTCCACTCACCTGCACTCCTCGCTCTCCAGCAGCTTGCGGTAGGTGGCGATCTCCATATCCAGGGCCAGCTTTAGACTCATGAGCTCCTGGTACTCTCGTAGCATCCGGGCCAGCTCCTCCTTGGCCTGGTGCAGGGCACTCTCCAGCTCATCCAGCTTGGCCCGGGCATCCTTAAGGGCACTGTCCCCTCGCTCCTCAGCATCAGCAATGGCTGTCTCCAGATTAGACGCCTAGGTGAGGAAGTCAAGAAATTAGAAAACTGGAAGAAGGCTTGGGTGTTGTCTGTAGCCAAACCTCTCCCATTCCTTAAGATCTGGCAGTAGACGTGCTCATTCTGTTAGGTACAAACCAAACTTCTGCTCTGATTAAAGGGGCTGGAAAACAGTCCCAGATCTCAGCTGTATGCCTGTGTTCAGATGTCTGTGGTGAGGGGAGAGTATGCCCCCTGCCCTCTGGAGACCAGGGTCACTTGAGCATCACTTTGGCACCCAGACATTGACTGAGCTGCCCTATGGCAGGCTATGCAGTAAGTGACTTTCTGTTGCTGAGTTGTTTAGAGTCTGTGCTAGGTGCAATGCCAGCTACTGCCCAGATGCATGACCCACAAGCCAGGGCCACAGGGAGACTTCCAGGACTGGCTATTATTTGCCAAGTGCTCACTGTATATCCAGTACCACCCATTCCATGTCTTAGCACATTTGATCCTCCTGACTCCCTATGAAGTGAGAACAGGTGAGTTGTCCACAGAGCTGTTGTGTTAAAGCCCATGGGAGACTAGGAAGAACATGGAACAGGAGGTCCAGCCTCCTGGTCAAGAGACCTTGGTTGAAGGACCAGCTCTGCTTCTTAGCAGTGATGCACCCCATTTAACCTCACCGAGCCTCCCTTCATCTGGTACAGAGAGGATGAGAACATTGTTCCAGACGGTCTTTGCAGGGATTCAGTGAGACAGAATGACAGGCACTGCTGCTGTTTCGTTATATCTGCACCTTCTGTCCCCACTGCTAACACGAGGCCATCTACTACATTCCTGGGAGTGACTCCTGCTTTACTGGGTGGTCCCCGAGCCCATTTCCCCTTCTCAGCTACATCAGTGATGTTTATTAAGCTGCTGCTATATGCAGGCACAGTGCTAGAAGTCAAGGAAGCACAAAGCAGCCAGCTCCCTGACTCCTTTCAGTGCAGAGGGCATGAGTCTCAGGCAACTGTCAGGAAGTTCCAGACACTGGCAGAGGCACAAGGAAGCACAGACACCTGGGAGCACATCCTGTGGGAAGCGGCATAAACCGGCTTGGGGGCCCCAGGGAAGGCTTCCTGAGAAAGAGGAGCGTGCCCGAGAAGAGGTGCTGGGAATGAATAGGAAAGGAAAGGGGGCACCCAGAGATAACCAAGGGCTGGAGCAGTACCTCACTTGTCATGACAGACATCTGGGAGACTGAAGTCCTCAACCTCCTCCAGTGCCCTCCACTGAACTCTCTACCTCTGGCCACAAGCTGAGATCCCTTACCTGCTTCTTTGCATTCTCAATCTCTGAACGGAGTCTCTGGATGAATCGGCTCAGCTCAGTGATTTCATTCTTGGTGTTTTTGAGGTCATCCCCATGGCGACCAGCTGCCAGCTGCAGCTCCTGGAACTGGAAAACCCAAAGCACAAAGGATGGATACGTGTACCAGCACAGAGGATGTGAGGTCCCCACATCGCTGAGCTCATGGCATCAGCGCACAGTGGATGCTGGCATAGACACTGCCTCTGCCCAGGGTGTAATCAGGCTCAGTCCTCCTATCTGTTGGTGTCGTCACACCTCCCAGCCCCTGGCCCAGCCTCAGCCTCCCCACCTTGGTCTGGTACAGGGCCTCCGCCTCGGCCTTGCTCTTCAGAGCGATGTCCTCATACTGAGCGCGGACCTCATCGATGATGCTGTCCAGGTCCAGGTTCCGGTTGTTATCCATAGACAGGATGACTGACATGTCGCTGATGTGGGACTGGATCTGAGCCATCTCCTACAGGGGCGATGGAGGGGGGGAGTTCTTCTGAGCTTGACCACTGTCAAATTCTAGTGATGCCAACATAGGACCTGGAACCCAAGGTTATCACCTCTCCGGGGGAAGCAGATGCCTTGCTGGGCCCCAAGTTCTCTCACCATGGAGTAAAGCCTTGGAGTAGGAGAAGGGGCTCCCAGGAATGACATGAGAGTGAATGGCTGACTTGGGGGCCTCCCTGAGAACTGGAGCCTTAGTGACTCTCCCAGCCCCTAGACTAGAAGAATGCAGTAGGGAGAGGCTTACGGCTTCATAGAGACACTTGAAGAATTTGATGTCCTGGTCCATGGAGTCCACCTTGGCCTGCAGCTCCACTTTATTGGCATAAGCCGCATCCACATCCTATGAAAGAAGCCCAGCCATCCATGTCGCCACTGATGCAGTCCGGGTGACACCTGCCCCCAGCCCAGCTGCCCTGCTAGAGGAAGGAGACACTGTCTTCTCCTTACGTGGCCAGGAGGAAGGCAGTGGGGCAGTTGAAGGTACAGCTCCACATCCCGAGAATCTGTTCTATGGCAGGATGAGGTGCCCCTCAGGAAGGGAGCCCCAGCCAAATGCTGTCAGAGGTGTCTTTGCAACGTCTGAACCGGGTCCCACCACTGCAGGGAGTCTCTCATGCCATGACCCTCCCTGCCCCTTCACTCCTCTTCCTGGACAGCCTTTCACCTGGTCCCCTGTATTCCCTTTCTCTCTGTATCGGCCCATTTGGGGGCTGGTGGCAGAGCACACTGGCAGACTCGGCCCCCCTAGTCGGCCCCCAGCCTTGAGATTGCCTTCTACTCACCTTCTTTAGCAGCACAAACTCATTCTCGGCAGCTGTCCGCCGGTTGATCTCCTCCTCGTACCTGTGGGAAGGCCAAGGCTCGTGGCTTACATCCTTCACTAAGTGTGCCCAGGGAAGGCACTGAGCAAGGAGAAGGCCAGCAGAAGGGCACAGAGTACTAAAGAGCCAGCCAAGCAAGGGAGGCTTCCTGGAGGAGGGGACCTGGTGGCTAAATATGGAAGAAGGGGGTTGGTGACGATCCAGTGTGGGAAATGAGGAAGCAGGGATAAAATGGCCCATGGGAAACCAGATGCAGGAAGCAAGCTGTTCCGCACTGAATGTGAGCAGAAACCCAGATTACCAAGTGTTTCCATGCACTTCTTAGACACAGGTGCTCTGAGAATATGAGTTTACCCAACACTGACCCCAAGCCAGGGCTTTGAAAATGGCCCAGATACTTGGATATTTGCCCCAAGTGCCAGGTCAGAGGCTGGGGATCAGGGAATAAGCTCCAGGTTTTTGATGGGGTGATTCTACTTGGTATAGCCTAGAACACAATTCTCCACCTCCAAAACGTTTAAGCCAAAGCGGCTACTGAGGCCCCTCAGAGGGACAGGGGTATCTGTCCAGTGACAAAGTTCCTCCTCACTCACCTCTTCTTGTAATCCTCTACCACGTCACGCACGTTCCTCAGTTCTGAGTCCAGCCTCACTCTGTCCCCAGACAGCGTCTCCAGCTGCTTCCGCATGTTGCTGATGTAGCCCTCGAGGATAGGCTCCAGGTTGTTCTTGCAGTTGTTCAGGTCCAGCTGCTGCAGCAGCTCCCACTTGGTCTCCAGCACCTGGTTCTGTTGCTCCAGGAAGCGCACCTGCAACCCAAAGCCCATAGGCCTCATCACACCTTTTGTTCAAGGGCGTTCCACAAAGTTCTCTGTCTGCATTGTCTCCTTTAGCCCTGTACAGCTGTGCAAGGCAGGCACATTGTTAGTTATGCTCAGTGGAGGGGAAACTGAGGCATAGAGAAGAGCTGCTTCTTTCCAAGGTCAAGCAGTTTATAAGTGGCAGAGCTCAGAATTAAACCCAGACACATGTCCCTGTACTGTGGGCATCCAGTCACTCAGAGCCATGCCAGAGCAGGACATGAGCACACCTCAAGACGGGCCAGGCACATCATCTACTGGAATGACACCTGCTCTGAAGACAGGGCGTGCTCTCCATCTTATGGCTTGTCAATGAATAGTGAGGCTAGGGATCAAGGTCAAGGGCTTCTGGGCATTTAAACTTCCTGCACCAGGCCCCAGCCCATCTCTACTCACAGCTGCTGCCTGTCCTCTAAGTCCAACTCTCAAAACCACCCTCTGTGGAGCAAGCATGGAGCAGGAGCGAGATGCACAGATAGAGCCTGGCCTTCACTGGGCCAGAGAACTCACCTGGGGTGATCGACATGATCCTGTCTGGCTTTAGGGGGCATAGCTTTTTAAATGTGACTTCTTTTCCTATCTGTACACATAGGTACACACATGATCCTGTCTGGCTTTAGGGGGCATAGCTTTTTAAATGTGACTTCTTTTAGTATCTGTACACATAGGTACACATCTGTACACATAGGTACCTGTCTGTACACATAGGTACATATCTGTACACATAGGTACATCTGAGCAAGGCTATGGAACAGGACATCGGAATACTGTCTGGAGTTCTGTGCTGAAATAAATTCCACATCAAACTGCTGATCTTTAGCAGATTATCTAGCATTTGGTTTAGTTTAACCAATCCTGTGTATTTACTCTTCCTGTGTATGAGTAAAGCATTAACCACCTCTGGGATGCTATAGTACCGGCATGCCACTAACACAGCTAGGTCACTGATAGGACTCACCACTTCCTCTGGCTGCCTGAGGTAAAGGGACTGCACTGCTCCTATGCCCAAAGTTCCTCAAGAACTATCCGGGTTTGGGGATTCCTTCAATACTCCCTGAGCAGAACATCTTCATCTTTTCATGTGTCTGAACTTGCCTGAGGACAGGCAGCAGCTGTGAGTAGAGAGGGGTTGGGGCCTGGTGCAGGAAGGCCAGGACAGTCCACACAGGAAGACCAGCACTGCAGATCCTGGCCAGGTTCTGTGCCAGTGGCCATAGGCTCTGTCCTGGGTTATAATACCTGACTCTCATGGAACCAGCATGGCCCTTTAGTCTCTGCCCCTGGATCCAGAGTAGGAGGGTAAAAGTCCAGCCCTGCCTGGCCTCCAAGTGGCATTAAGCGCAGTATCGGCCTCCATGGGTTTGCTGACCCATAAGCTGGAGACAGCCATTTCTCATTTACTACAACCAGCAGGCTGGCTGGGCTGGAGGATTTCTTGAGGCCTAAAGTTCCTCTGTTTCCTGGCACCCTTCCCCTAGCTCAGACATAAAAGTATGCAACAACATCCATAGTTGTTGAAGGACCTAGTGTGAATCAGGGATTATGGAAATTCATGTGAGCATTCTTTCCTAAACTAACACAACCCCCAAAGGAAGGTCATGATTTCCATATAAGAGGTGAGGACATGAAGGTCCAGAACAGGACAAGCAGCTCTCTCAAAGCCACCCAGATGGTTGGTAATGGGCCAGGTCTGACTCCAGAGTACCTCACATCCCTAGCACGATTCTGCCTTTCAAGAGAGCCCTTGACCCCTGAACCAAACACCCATGGTGGAAACATCCATTAGCCCAAAGGGCCCAGAGTGGCCATAGACCCATCCATATTCCTGAGCCGCTGGGCACGTGATGACAGCACAGAGATCCTTGTGCAAGACACTGAGATAACAGAATGTACCTTCCTTGTCCTGTATCCAACTCCAGTCACTCATGCTGTCATAAGAAGAGGAGAGAATTGTTCCCAGCTACCCCAGTCTTTGCAGACCCACCTTGTCAATGAAGGAGGCGAACTTGTTGTTCAGCGCCTTGATCTGCTCCCGCTCCTGGGCCCGCACCTTCTGGATCTCCGGGTCCAGCTCCACATTGAGTGGGGCCAGGAGGCTCTCATTGACTGTGACCTGGTGGATGCCTCCAGGTGGGCACACGGTCGGGCACACAGGTCCCAGGGCCACACTGCCAAAGATGCTGCCAGCAAAGCCACTGGCCCGGTTCCGGCCAAATCCATAACCTCCGTTCTTCCCGCTGCCACTGGCCATGTTGAGGGTGATGCTCCTGGCACCTCCAAGGCTGTAGAGGCTCCGACTGCCAAAGCCCCCACTGAGCCCTTTGCCCCCTGCCCTGTAGGAGGATGAGCTGCCTCCAGACAGCACGGCGGAGCAGCCACTGAAGCCCCTGCTGGCAGCTCCGGACTTGCAGGTGGTGTATTGGCGGCTCATGTCGCTGCTGGAGATGGATTACAAGGTGCGGGAGAGAGAAGGCAAATCCCACGGAGGTTGTGCTGGCTGCAGTGAGGACCAGCAGGTGCTTTTATATGTGTTTGGCACTGGGCTTGCGGATGGGCAGTGGAGAGCTTAATTCGTGGGTTTGGCTTGCCTGGGAGCAAGAAGTCATTTTCTCTCTGCTGAGCCAGAGATTGGCCCTCACTACCTCTGAAACAACATGAAACTGTCAAATTGCTGGGCTTGCAAACCTTGCTCAGGTAATTTGGGTCTTATCTAATTAACCTGCTGTTATAAGGTAATTTGCCGTAGGCCTCAGCCTCTTCAGGGGCATGTCACTGGCACTCCACCATCTCTCTGGGATTAATCTATGTGGTTAGCTTCCTTACAGGGGTTGGCATTAACTTTTAGGACAGGGCAGGCCACTGACTGGGGGCTCCACCATCTGTGTCCTCTGCCCCAGAGAGGAAAAGCCTAGTCAGGCAGCCATCCTCTCCAAGCCTCATAAAGATGTAAGAGCTACAGAGGGAAGTGGCTCTCTCTATCGGGGGACTAGGATAGAGAGAGTCTTTCCTTAGCAAGGGACCTGAGCAGCCCAGGCCACAGAAGCTATGGGCACGTGGTAACCATATGTTTGACATGCTGTCTAGAGAGTTGGATGCCCCTACTGCACCTCTCAAACACTCATAGTAAACTGGGGTGGGATGGGCTGAAGGAAGGGACAAGCTTTTTGCTCACTGATGAAGACTCAACTGGCAGGAGGTGGAGAGGGTGGAGGGAGGCTGGACATGGTCTAGAGAGTTCAAGGCAAACTCATGGAGGTTCTGTTTCATCATACCTCACTCTCTTACCGTGTGCCTCTGCTAGTGAGAACAGGAATGGGCTGTCCATCATTCAAGCAAAGAAACACCATCACCATGAGCCCTGACTTCAGCTATGCCAGGCCCAAGAATTCAGGAACTGAGTCTGACGGGGACCATTCCCAGAAGGCCAAACGCAACACAACTAAGTCCAACCCCCACACCCAGTGTGGGGCAGTGGAGAGCCAGGGAACACCATGCCAAACAGTCTTCTGGTGTCTGATCCAGAGGCTCTACATGCTGTCTGCTCCATCCTGGGTCATTGACTTCCGTTGACGGATCCCAGTGCCCTCCAATAATCACCCTGTTCAGCTCATGGCTGGTCCATCCCTGGAGAATGGCTTCTCCAAAAGATCCCTTCATGGTGCAATGGGCCCAGAGGGGAGAAGAATCCAGGCGCAGGCTGAGCTGAGGCTCTGTTGGGCCTGGGCTTAGAACTCACTTCCTCTCATCCCTTCCTTTCCCTTCCACTTCCACCTCTCATCTTGTCATCATTGCTGATATCAAAACAGCATCACTGCCCTCTTCCTGCCGTCTTCCCCTCCTCTTCCCCCATCCTCCATTTATTTCCCTCCCCCTCCCTCTTGTTCTCTTGCTCCATCCTGCCCTCCTCACAGGTCTTCCTGGGCCAACGAAGCCTGGGTCTGATCTCTGCTCCCCTCCCTCAGCCCTGTGCCCTTCGCTGTGTGGAAAGGCGGTGGCTGTGGAGGCAGCTCCCTCATGTTCTGCAGGCTAGATCATGTGTCATCGTGGTTTCCCTTCGTAAGGATGGTAGAAGCTTCTCCGGACCAAGAGGCCATTCAGTGTGCTCCTCCTCCCTCCACCCTCCTCTCTCCCTCTTCTTTCCCCTTGGTTAGCCTCCACTGAATGTACACCAGATAATCTACCATTCTGCTCAGTTCTGGGGATACAGGACTTTGTGGTGTAACGTAGAAGGTCCTTCTGTGCTTTGGAGTACACTCCTGACAGTGTTTCCTGTCAATGGCTTTTCCAGCTGTACATTTCTTAAACATATATGGCAGCACCCAAGCCTAGCCAGCACTGTCCTGTGTCCCCTGCCCCAACCCACTCACAGTCCCTTGCTTCTCCCTGCCTGCCTTTAAACATCTCAGCCACTGGCCTCATGTTCTCTCTCCAGCTTTTTGCCAAGCTGCTCCCTTCAAGCCTAGACCACTTCTCTCACATCTTCTGCTCCTCTGAAACCCTGACCTCTGCCCTGTCTTGTCTCCTCTGTCCATGACACCTGTATGTCAGAAACAAAATTTACTGAGTCTAGTGAGTGTCCCAGAGTCCAGTGATGCCTCCCTCTGTGGGCCTCTTGGATTCTAGGATCATCCCCCTCCTAGTAGGCATCCTCTTGCTGGAGACACAAACAACAGAGATGGGGCATCGGAACTTTGTCCACCTAGAGTGGTACCAGGTGGAAACTCAGACCCAGAGACCTAAATTCCTCTCCACCACCCAGCAGGGAGACTCCACTTGGCCTCTCTGGCTTCAGCTTCCCCATTGGTAATGGGACAACACACGCTAATGCAGTGGTGACAATGACTGTACATGTTAATCCACACAAAGTGCCCCCTAAGGCCTAGGACACACTTAATGACCAATAACCACTGTCAGTGACTAAAAGGGTGCAATGGAGCAGAGCCAGGGGCTCGGCCTGTCTTCCCTCTCTCTTTGTCTCCCAGGGGGCACCTGGGTCAGCACATTCCCACGTGGTAGCATCAGATGCTGAGGACAGGGAAGGGATGGTGATCCCATAAGCCCCAGGCTCTCCCAGACCATCTCGGATCCTGGAAAACTGACCATTACAAATAATAATAGCCACTGTCAATCAAGTACTTACCAACTACAAAACTCAGTAGTAAGCACTTTATAAACATTATCTCCCGTCTATTGGTGTTGATCCACTTTTCAAATGTTTATTGGACACCTGACCAAGTACAGATGGGAGCAGTTCCGAGATGCCTGCTTCAAAGAGCTTATTCTCTGTGTCTCTGAAAGGCAAATGTCCTTGGAGAAGCAGCTCACCAGGCTGTAAGCAAGTCATTTACATAGTAGCATGAATTAGTTAATCAGATACTAGCCATTAGGTATGAAACACCCTGTGTTGTTGATGAGGATGATGATAGAGGAGGAAGCAGCAGAGTTCTGGACCACCCACAGGAAGGGTGGGCCCAGATACAGCACCTGGGGTGCTTGTGTTTCGCTAGAGGGCAAAGGGAGGGAGCAAAGAAAACCAGAGGGGAGCCCCAGTTCACCAAGGGTACAAAGGCCCTGCCCTTGTCCCTGCCTTTCTCCCTGCACTGAGATCTGGAGAGATTTGGGGGCAGAAGGAGACAGAGCCCTGCTTTGAGAGACCCTTGGCCTGGTGGGGAGACAGCTTGTGAGTTGCTATGCCCACTTGTCCCCACACAGATGGCTTTCTGTGCGAGAACCGAACAAAGCTTGGCTAGTCATGTGTGTCTCAGAGCTACACGTTACCCACCTGTGAAATGGCAGGGGAGGCTGTAAGGCTAGAGAATCAAAGCCTGAAATACCAGGAACATCTGGCATGGACATTTAAGGAAAGATTGAATGCCACAATTAAATTTTATCTGTGTGGCTCTTGGTTTGATAATCATATGTTTTATTTAGTCCATACGCATCATCTGTGGTTTCAACCTCTGTATCTGCTTCTATGAGGGACAACGATCAGGTTGACACATTTGATGGGGTGCCACATGTCTGTGATTGGTGTTTCCTCTTCCTTTGCAGAGGTCTTGGATCACTAATCCCCCCAATAAAAAGCCCCTCAGAGGGAGAAGGTGAGAGGACTGAGTTCAAGAAGCAGCTTCTGGTGGGAGAAGAATGCACAGAGAAGAGGCGACACTTGGGGAACTAAACCCACATGAGTTAGTACAGGAAGGGTTTGGATTTCCATCTTTTAAGGGAAGGAGGGTCAGGTGGACTGGTGTAAGCAGCCCAGGCTAGAGAGAGGCAGGTCATTTAGGAAGAAAAGACCCACCAGGCTGGAGCAGTCATGAGTAGAGAGTGACCTTGGATAGAGGGACCAGGTTTATAGAGGTATCAGGGAGACATTGAGGGCTGTTGAGCCAGGGGGATCCTAGGCGACACATGTTTGAGGAGACAGAACCTAGCCCCATGTGGGTAGGACTGGGTGGTAGGGAGGCTAGAGACAGCAGGAGAGGGGAGGAGCTTCTCTGAGCAAAGTAATTATCTCTAAAATTAGAGAAAATGAGCTGGGCTATTTGGATGACATCAACCCAGGTCCTGCCAGCCCTCCTCAGCAGATGGACCAGAACTTGAGCACATTTGCCTATGAATCCCCAGGAGTGGCCTCCTTGTACCCTTGAGTGGGTTCAGGTAGGTAGTACCGTCAGCCAGAGCCAGTTTGGATTGACTACAGTCCCCAAGGGGACTTAGCCACAATCAGACCGCTCAAAAGGCAGGACGGGTACTCAGCAGGTTTGCTGCTGATGAGGCCAAAGGTGAGCTCATTCTGAGGAGCTGGAGTATAAAGGACAGAGGAGTGTCCTGGTGGCAGCTCTGCTCCCATCTAGCCATGTGGCATCCCTGGAAAAGAGGGTCTTCCAGGGAAGCCTGTCCCTTGCCATCTTCTCCACTGGTTCTCTGGCCAGGAATACTTCTTCTCAGTGTGCTTGACCATCTTCCTCACCCGACTCCACACCTCTGGTGTAGTTGTGGACTTGGGACTCTGAGGAGCGGTGTCAAGGTCTCAACTGGACCACTCACCACTTGTGGGATAATGGGTAGGGCTTTACCTTCCTCACCCTCCGTTTCCACAGCTCCAAGGAGAGGGACATCAGTGCCTGCTGTACCTTCTCCCCAAGGTGGGTGGGAGACACCTTGTAAATGATAATAATGAAGATGACAGTGGTGATGGCAGCTAACACTTAGGCAAGGTTCACTCTGCCAGCTACTGTTCTAAGCACTTCGCATACATTAGTTCATTTAACCCTCACAACAGCCTGAAGGTCGGCACTACTATTTCCCCACTTTGCAGATGAAACACCAAGGCCCAAGGAAGTTGGGCAGTTCCCTCAGGGCTGCGGAGCAGTGAGTAGCTGTTCCATGCAGATGCAGGCAGTGTGGCTATGGCCTATAGCCTGTTCCCTGAACATCCCACAGCCCGGCTCTCTGGAGCATAGTGTCTGCCTGGCCCGGGTACATGTGTCCAGTTCTTACCTCCCATAACCTATGGTTTCTGTCCTCTTCTGTCCCTCCAACTGCTGAACCACAGCATGAAACACTGAACTTGTCACATTCTGTCCCTCTCATCCCTGAGCACTCAAGGTCTCCAATCCTGATTGTCCCAATTTACGCATTTTCAATGTATTCCTGCTCAATTATCGTTCAGGGGAGGGGGCAGTGGCTCCAGCCAGTGGCTGAATGGGGCAAGCCTTCATCCAGCATCCTTGAGAGCACAGAAGCAGGGGAGGCTCTAACTAGTTGGGCCTGAGACAACGTCCTTTCCCAAATGACTCTCAGCAATTACCCAGAAGTCCCTCTGTGTGGGGCGTCTGCCACACATAGGGATAGAGGAAGACAGGACTTGCCATGAAGGACTTCTCCATGTAGCAAAGATTTGTCACTTTTACTCAATCCTGAGTAGAAGGCGGGCTCCGGGAGCAGCTGAGTTTTGTGCTCACGTTAGCTGATTGTTAGGTGGGTTAAGAACTTTAGCAAGATTGGAACTCAAAGTCCTGGTCCAAAGGGCTAGGAATGTGCCTCAGTAAAGTACCTGCTATATAAATGTGAGGAACTGAGTTCAGATCTCTAGTACCCACATAAAAAGCCAGATGTGACAGTGTGTGCCTGGGTTCACTTTGAGATGTTGTCTCAGGCCCTACTAGTCAGAGCCTCTCCTGCTTCCATGCTCTCAAGGATGCTGGATGAAGGATTGCCCCAGTCAGCCACCGGCAGGAGCCAGTGCCCCCTCCCCTGGACTATGATGAGCAAGAATCTCAGCACTGGGAAACAGAGACAGGAGTATCCGAGGGACTTGAAGGGCAATTAGTCTAGCTGAAATGAATTGGTAAGCCCCAGGTTCAATGAGAGACCCTTTCTCAAAAAAAAAAAAAAAAAAAATAGTGAGAAATTTACCTCTCTGCTCTACACATGCAGATACACACGCACGCACACACACACACACAGCACACACACCACACACTACACACCACACACACACCACACACACCACACACACACACACACAAACATACAGACACACCTCACACACATATACCACCACACACACCACAACACACACACACACACACACACCACAGACACCATACACCACACACACACACACACAAACATACAGACACACCTCACACACACACACACACACACACTACACACCACACACCACACACACACACACACCACAGACACCATACACCACACACACACCACACACACCACACACACACACACACAAACATACAGACACACCTCACACACATATACCACCACACACACCACAACACACACACACACACACACACCACAGACACCATACACCACACACACACACACACAAACATACAGACACACCTCACACACACACACACACACACCACAGACACCATACACCACACACACACCACACACACCACACACACCACACACACACACACAAACATACAGACACACCTCACACACACACACACAGCACACACACCACACACTACACACCACACACACACACACACACACACACAGCACACACAGCACACACTACACACCACACACACACACACACACACACACACACACATCCTGGTTCAAGGTTCAAGGCTGAGGCTTTGACTCTTGCTGATGAAAATGTAGCAGTCTATCAGTTTCCATTGCTCCAGCTCATCATCCATCAAGGGCGGACACAGGCACAAGGCTCTCCATGGCCAAAGTTTAAGACTCAGGTGGCCAGCTAAACAAGCCATCAACCATCTGAGAGAGCCAAAGTTTGCCTCATCTGCAGAAGCAGTGTCCAGGATGTTTATCACTCGGTCATCAGAAGACCAGCTCCCAGGGGCTCCCACGTACTCCATGCTCGCCCTAGGCCAGCTGAATAGAGGGTATGCTGTCCCTGTCTCCTACTGTCCCCAGACAGCTCTCCCTGTCCTTGTCAGACCTCCATTTGCCAGATGGTAGGAAGGGCTGGGAGCTAAAGTCCAGGGCACGATTTCTCTGGCCTCCTCTCTTTAACACCCCCATGTTTAATTTGTATTTTTTATTGAATTGAAATTTATATAACATAAAATTATAACTATGTTGGTGAACAAACAATTCAGTAGCATTTGGTATATTCCCAATGGTATATAACAACCACGTCTATCTAGTTTTCAAATATTTCATCACATCAAGAGGAAACCATTCATGCATTGCCCTCCACCCTCTTTCCCCTGCATTGTCTGTGTGGCTTTACCTAATCTGGACATTTCGTATGGATGGATTATGCAGTACAGGACCCTTTGGGTTAATTTCTTTCACTTAGCCTGATTTTTTCCAAGGCTCATTCACTCAGTAACACAGCTCACTATAGCATTCTTTTCATGTCTAAAAACTATTCCTTGTAAGAATATACCGTGTCCCCCATTTTCACCCGCCCTCTCACTGATGGATATTTGGACTATTTTGCACTGTTTCTGAGTTGCTATGTTGAGTGTACTGTTTGAACATCTGGTTCCAGTTCCTTTGCATGTAGCTCAAGGAATGGAATCTCAGGATCCCATGGCAATTCCAAGGAACCAGAATATAAAACATTCCCACCAGCAACATACAAAGATTTCAACTTCTCTACATCCTCATCAGCATCTGTTACTGCCTGGATTTTTCTTAATTTATAGTTGTACTTATCAACCATTTGTACACATTTAGATAAAAGTCCATTGGGGCCCTTTGCACACATCTTAACCAGGCTGTCCTTTTCTTGTTGATTGTAAGAGTTCCTTACACATTAGGAACACTAGACTCCTATCAGAGAATCCCCAACCCCAGCATTGTTGTTTGAGAGGTCTTATTGTGTGTCCCAAGCTGGCTTTGAACTCACAAACCTCTACTTCAGTCTCTCAGGTGCTGGGATAACCATGTACACCACCATGCCTGACTCTTCCCACTTTCTTGATAAAGCATGGTGTGAAGCAATTTCCTGTGAATTGAAGCATGCCCTCCTAGAGGGAGGAGAGAGGCTTATAAGACTCAGGACACTCTTGAAACTTACCAGGCTCAGAAAGCACAGAAAATTCCAAGACTCCCAAGGCTCCCCATAGTTATATCACCAGTAAACAACTGCTGCAGAGAGGAGCATTCTCCTAAGGCTGACTGCAGGAGGCTCCAACAGCTTGATTCGTCACTCATGCTGAGGCACGCTTTCTGCTAATGCAGCTGCTTTGCTTCTGTAAGTCACCCCTCATCTCTATTCCTGTCAGTAACCCTAATAAACACACTGGTTCGCTAAGCTTGAACCAGGTAGAAGTGCTTCTTTTGGTCTGTCACCACAGTCCTATCTGGGGGTAAAGAGACGTTTGTACAAGTTTCTCCAGGAAAAGCCACACAAGTGCCCTTTAACTCACCTTAGAGCCTTACAGAAAAATGCTGCTCATGGTGGTTCACACCTGTAATCCCAAGACTTGAGGAAGGAAGATTATCAGGAGTTCAAGACCAGCCTGGACTATAGAAATCCAAAAATTAAAAAAACCCAAAACAAAACAAAAAAAAAGTTTTTTAAAAGTTTTTTTAAACTTTTATGAAATCCAATAAATTCAATAATTCAATTTATCTGCTTTTTTCTGTTCTACTCTATAGCTCTAACCCAGAGTCATGCAGATTTACCCTTATATTCTCCTCTAAGAGTTCTACGGCTTAACTGTATTTATGTGTTTCATCCATTTCATTCATTTTTGTAGATGATATAAGAGGTATGAGTGCCCAGCTTTGAGTGTTTCTGCCTCTCCCAGCAGCCTAAGGTCACCTCCTGAGCAGCCTCCTGGGTTGACCTCCAGTAAGTTGACCTGCCCAGGAAGGCTGTGCACACGTGCGTGTGCATGCGCGCACTCATGGATCACACTGTCATTAGACTGTGGAGCGTTTGGGGAGGTGGACAGACTGACAGAAACACACCTCTGACATCACTTAAAGTCAGTTTATTTCATATACAGCAAGAACTCAGAATCCTTAGGTCAAGTAAGGGAGGGACAAGGTGGTGCCATTCTTAAGAATATACCAGAGACAAGAGTAAGTCCACATACTGGACTCAGCTCACAGCAACAGCACTCCAGAATCAGGTGCCCCTAGAGGACACAGTCCCAAAGAGGAGACCCCATCTACTGCCTTCATCAAGGACTGTGATCTTAGCACTCCCTCCCTTAAAGTGGTAGTGATCATGACATGAAACAGCCTGGACCTGCAGCCAGCCAGGCCTGAGCTGGTTCATAGGTGAGTGACTAGGCTAGTTCAGCCACGCTGAGGACCAGGCTGCCTATTTGTCCCAAGGATGTGGCTTGCACCTTCCCTACAGAATTAGGTGGGAATTAGAGGAAATGTGTGCAGGGTGCATGGTGGTCTGGCACAGAGTAGATGCTTGGCAGGTAGAAGTAGGAAGCACTGACAATAAAGGTAGTGACACAAGATGGCAAGAGCATCTCTTCTCCCCCACTTGGCTCTGAGAATAGAAGTGCACAGATCTGAGAGTGAGCACATTTTCTTCTACAAACACCTTGTTAAGACCTCTGGTTACAAGGCTCTGGATTCAATGCCAGCACTCTGGAAGGGGCAGAAAATCTCAGACTATTGAGAATTTTACCTAATCCCCTTCTCTCCACCCCCCTACCCCCCGGCTCTGGGAAGGATTATGTCTTCCTTAGGCCAGTAATGGCTTGTGCTTCCAAATCCTCTTGTCAGCTGAAGGTAGGAGAACTCATAAGCCCAATGGGTCTACTGGCACAGGAAGGGTAACTGTTAATCAGAACTTGAAAATGGATAGTGGATAGTCAAGTGTTCATAGACAGTCCTAAAACTCAGGGATGCGAGGTTCAGGTATAGCAGGCATCTCTGGGCGGTGGAAGAAACATTGTTTCTCCAGGCACTGAAGTAAGTGGGGTGGCAGGCTTATCGGGTGATCTTCCTGGCTGGAGTTCCGATGGCAGCACTCTTGTCCTGGGAGTCTCTGAGGTCTCCTGCTCGTGATCCTCTGGTCTTGGGCTGGCTGCTTCGGGAGGTGCTAGAACTACCCGCCGCAACGCCAGCAGCAAGATCAGAGTTCACAGAGCTTGGATGATAACCATAGGTGCCATAGCTGCTGCTGCTAATGACAGCTGAAGAAGAGCCAAGAACAGGTGTCCATCAGCAAGTGACAAGAGCTACGGTAATTTCTGTCTCAAAGACACCCTATTTAATCCCACAGCAACCCTCGGAAGTCAAGATACATAACCAAGGCAATGAATGATATCTTATCATGTGCCATTCTGTGTGATGAGAGGACAGCATAGAACAGACATGGTGCTTGTCCTCTGGGACACCCTAAGGAAGCGCCCATTCCCAAGACTTTCTCTGCACAATAGTGTCCCAGGGGAGAGACCGCATGAAGAGAGATGGGTGTGATTTCAGTGATGTTTGCCAGGGCACAAAAAAGGTAAATGTCCTTCTGAAGCCAGAGAACATTCACAGGGCAGTACCAGAAACTTCAGGACGAAGTGATACAATGATTAGAGGTGTAGTGCTGTGCCCCAGGGCCCCTGGCTTTCTCAGCCCAACCCATCGCAAGGATACTCACAGATGCTCACAGAGGATGGGTTCTCTCCAGACATCCTGCAAGACATAAAGTTAAAAGATGAAGCCACAGAGAGTAGTGCATACACCCATAATCTCGACACTCCAGGGACTGAGATGGAAGGAGAACCATGCATCTGAGGCTAGCCTGGGCTACAGAGTAAGACCCTGCCTCAAGCAAGCAAACTGAACAAAAAAAAAGGATAAAACTTCAAGGATTCATTCAGCCGAGCTGCAGTGGGCTCCTGCTCTTCTGTGATTTTTCTTGTTTTTCAAAGTTCCATTCTACAGATGGGAAAATAGAGGCATTGCATGATTTACTGGGACCACATCTGTAGCATGATCTGTCTAACCCCACATTTCTATTCATGGCACCACACAGTCACCTGTGCATATAAACAGCACTAGACATCCCCTTGCAAGAGGTAACATCTGAGTTCACTGGGCAAACCACAGCCTCCTTCTCTCATGCTGTGGCCAACACTGTCCTCACCTTCCTGCTATCACACGACCCCTCAGCCAGAGCACCCTGCCAGTTCTCCCTTGGCACCATAGTGTTGCCCTCCAGGCCCCACCTGCACTCCTCGCCCTCCAGCAGCTTGCGGTAGGTGGCGATCTCAATGTCCAGGGCCAGTTTCAGGCCCATGAGCTCCTGATACTCGCGCATCATCCGGGCCAGCTCATCCTTGGCCTGGTGCAGGGCACCTTCCAACTCATCCAGCTTGGCCCGGGCATCCTTGAGGGCGCTGTCCCCTTGCTGCTCAGCATCAGCAATGGTCGTCTCCAGGTTGGAGCACTGGGAGTGAGGGGGGCAGAGAACAGAGAGTGTCAGAATGTCAAATAAGACCTAGGTCATACCAGCCATGATGGTCAGTATCAACTTGGCTGAACCTAGAATCACCTGGGACAAACCCCTGCCTGTGCCTGTGAGGGACTGCTTGGTTCAGTTGGTCAAGGTGGAAAGGTCCTGGGTTGTCCAAAGAAGAAGAAAGCTAACAGAGCACAAACTTTCATGATCCTGTGCTTTCTGACTCCGGCTATAACTTCACCAATTGCCTCAAGTGCCTGTTGCCAGGACTTCCCCACCAGGATGTACTCTTGAACAGTGAGCCAAAATAAACTCTTTTTCCCATAAGTTGCTTTGGTCAGGATATTTTATCACAGCAACAAAAAAATAAACGAAGGCATTGGGTAAATAGCACCTTGACCTCATACAGATGAGGCTCAAGGCACGATAAGGAGCTACAAAGCCAGCATAAGAGCCCAGGCCTTCTGTTGCAGAGGAAGGTTTAAAGTCATGGACCAAAATAAAGCTGTGGGCTGGAGGACGGTTGAGTGGTAAAAGTACATACTGTGCAAGCAGGAGGGAGGGTTCAGATCCCAGAACAGACGTAAAAAGCCAAGCGTGGTCACACATATCTACAACCCCAGTACTGTGGATAAGAGTGGAGATAGGAAGATCACTGGGGCATGCTGGATACCAGCCTAGCTCTAAGTGCAGTGAGAGACTCCATTTAAAGGCAATAAGGCAGAACAAGCCCATCACTAGGAGAGGTGAATATATTTATATATTAGAAAGCGATAGAGCAGGATACCGTCAGTCCTCTGGCTTCCGTGCACACACAGGCATAAGAACCTGCACGCACGTGTGCATATACGCCATGCTCACACAAACAGCACTCACTCACATACATACAATTTTTTAAAGTAAAATTTTAAAAAAGGACTTGTGATGAGATTCTTGTGAGCTGCTGCAATTCAGGAGTGCAGGAAAAAGCTTCAATGGTGCAGAAGTCATCTGGTGTCTGAGGCTGAGGCCATCATGACCACAGGATCCAGCCCAGCAGATCCAGGAGAATCATGCCCAAGACTCCAGCCATGCTATCCCCAAAGATCAGACAGCATGCTTAGAGTCACAGACTCTGAGAAACACCAAGAGCTGCTGTGATTTCACATGCTAATGGGAGGCGGGGTCCTAATGGAATCTGTGAGCCAGACAACTCAAAAGCCTTATAGCTGTCCCTGTGCCCTGCCCCTCCATGTCACAAGAGGGTCCTGGAAGTCCATGGAAGAGGAGAGCAGGCTCTAACAATTCCATCACTAACAGAGATGACCTGGTTCTTCAGAGAGTCCCCAGAAGATTCCCCGCCCCCAACGCACACACATCTCTAAAATATCTCTCCATTGACATAGCATTTAGGAATTCCGGCTTTCAGGTAAGATCAGTAAAAAGAAAAGGGCTCCATGGCACAGGGCAGGGGAATTCAGGACTTCATCAGCTGCCGTGTCCCTTCACTAAGGCCATGTCCCACCACAAGGACAGAAACGCAATGTGGCCACAGAGGGCCTTATCACACCCCACACATCCAGCTGGTGTTTCATGCAGTTGGAAGGAGGAAGCCTAGGGCCTGCTCCCAGAGAGACATACCTGAAGGGTATAGGACAGGTGGGACACCTGGGTTTGAATCCTGCCCTGTTAATAAACAGCTGGGAGCCCTAGGCAAGTCACTGGCCCTCTCCAGCCCCACTCCCTTAATCTGCACTTTGGTGAAGCCAGAGATAGGGTGGATTCTTGCCCATTCTGATGCAGGGGAAGGAGGCAGGGTGAGAAAGGGCCTGTGCTTAGCCCCTGAGATCTCAAGCCCAGGAGGGGAGGCTTGCTTCTTCCTCAATGGCAGGCCCTGTATCTCCATCACAGGGCTGAAACTGCACCTCTCATTCTTCACTGGGTTGCTGCCCACCTGCTTTTTCACATTAGTAATATCACAGCGGATCCTCTGGATAAGCCGGTTCAGCTCTGACATCTCATTCTCGGTGTGTTTCAGGTTGTCCCCATGGTGACCAGCCGCCAGTTGCAGCTCCTGGATCTAGTGTCCCAGAGGCAGGAAGGGGGTGATGAGACAAAGGAAAGGAGGAGGTCCTGGGAAAGCATGTCCACCACCAGGGAGATCCAGGTGACCCTGCAGTGAGGTAGTGGAACCGGTACCTCGGTGTCCTTCTAACTCTGACCAAGAAGTACCCCTCGGCCCATCCTCTAGGCAGAGCCTGTGCATGATCCCCCTTTCTGGTTTGTCTCCTGTCCCATGTCTTTCCCAGGTTCATTAAGCACTCTCCAGTGTGAGAGTTCGGACACCTCCTCTTCATTTGTCATCTTGTATTAAAAGAGGCTCCGTCTAAAGGCCCAGCTTGACTGTCCAGAGGATGCATGGATGCATCAGTGAGTGAGGTGGAGCAGATCCCTTCTCTCCTGAAACTCGCATTCCTGATTACAGTCCGAGGTGAAGGAAGCCTAGGGCACCTTTGTGTCCTAGGGAGGGGTTATAGGCCCTACTGTTAATGGTGTCCCCCTTCTTATGCCCAGCTCTCCAAGAAAGAGGAAACGACATGTCTGTGAGCAGGGAACAAAGGACAGGAGGGGACAGTGAGGATGGCCCACACCTGCCATCCTTGCTTAGTGGTGCTGTAGTTTAGACTGAGTATATCCACAAAAGCCCCATGTGCTAAAGGCTTGCACTATTAGGAGATGGTAAAATCTAGTAAATGAGGCCAGCAGGAGAAATTTAGGTCATGAGGGACATGTCCTTGAAGGACATACTGAAACCTGGGTCTCTCTGCCCCATGTTTCTCTGCCCCATGCTTGTGACCATCCTTCCTGTGGCACCTGTGGCATTTATGGGAATAAATGCATCTGTTTTACAATGGGAGGAGCTCAGTCTGTGTCTCCTAGAGGACCACCTGCCCCTCTCTGTTGAGTTTAATCGGTCCCTTTCGGATAGAATGCCATTGGACCTTGACTGTAACCATCTCTCACTCAGGACTTCTGTGATGCTGGTAAAAGGACCCTTCCCAGGAAAGAACGAGGCCCTCCCCCCACTGGTACCCACCTTGGTCTGGTACAGGGCCTCCGTCTCAGCCTTGCTCTTCAGGGCGATGTCCTCGTAGTGGGAACGGACCTCGGCAATGATGCTGTCCAGGTCCAAGTCCCGGTTGTTGTCCATGGACAGAATGACAGAGGTCTCAGTGGCATGAGTCTGCAGTTGGGCGATCTCCTGAATTGGGGAGAGAGACAGAGTCAAGACCCTAGCTCCCCTCCTCTTCTCCATCTGTCTCTGGGCCTGTGGTCCCTGGAAGGATAGGTCAGCAGACCAAAGTGGGGAAAGTGCCCACTGAAGATGTGTTCACAGAGAGAGGGAGACGGGCCCATGGCAGCAGTAAGTACACTTTCAGCTGCTGGCAGTGGGAAGTGGAGACAGGAGGCTGCAGTGGGAGGCGGGCCACATAGGAGGAAGAATGGGTTCCTGCGGCTTCACAGAACCCAAGCAGCTTTACTCAATAGGATCTCATGGAGCCATTTTTTCCCTGCCTATGGGCAAGGCCATTGCCCAGATCTACTACCTCTCGTATGTCTGGGGACAGGATCCTGTATTTGCATTGTTGGTTAGTGCTGGGATCACACTTAGCCCTGGAAGCATCTTTCTCTGAGGTGATCGTAAGTCCCTCCCATTGATATCCCCCGGGAAGGGTCAGGTGAAACTCTTAACTGGAGCAAGATAGGAGTATGGGGGATAGGAGTGTCCTCACCGCATCATACAGACATTTGAGGAACTTGATGTCTTTATCCAGAGAGTCTACTTTGGCCTGAAGCTCTACCTTGACCATGTAGGCTGCATCTGCATCCTGCCAAGAAGCCCCACAGTATCACCGGTACATCCCTCGCCACACCAACCACCCTGCCTCTGCCAATACCTCTGGCCCCACAGCATCTGACTTTAGTATTTGTCATCAAGAAAAGCTTGCTGACAAAGACAGTCGCCCCACATCTCTTCCTTTGTTTCACCCAGAGAACACACAGCCCAGAGAAGCGCTGCAGTTCCTCAGGCCACACAAGAAGACTGCGCTAAACCAAGCTCTCCTGATGCCCCAGCCAGGATTTTCTCTTGTCCTTCTCTGTCCAGTTTCTGTCTGTATTCTTCTTCTCCATCTGGTTGAGGCCACAACTCTGATCCCACCCCAATTGAGGCCCCAATGCCTTTACAGGTATCCTGGCTGAAGTCTTGCGCAGTCTTGCTAAGGATACAGGCACAAGAGAGACCAGAGCCTGTAGGTGCTTCTCCGCCCACCTTCTTGAGTAGCACAAACTCATTCTCTGCTGCAGTACGACGGGTGATCTCCACTTCATACCTGTGGGAGAGGAAAGATGACAGCAGAGGCTCCACCCTTCTGTCCTCTGTTAAGTGACCACGTTCTACTACAGGGCAAGCCCTGAGGCTAACTGGGGACTCTGTGGAGCCTCCGGCTGTTATGATTTGTATGTGACACATGCCCCACAGGCTCATATATTTCAACACTTGGTCCCTAGCTTGTGGCACTGTTTTGGAGACTGTGAAACCTATTAGTCATGGAACCTAGCTGGCAGCCACATGATGGGGGAGGGGAGCTAGGATCTGCTTCTGGCCCCCTGGTTGGCACCATGAAACAAGCCACTGCCACAAGGCCCCATCACCATGGAGCCACCAGCTGCCATGCCTTCCCCACCCAGGAGAATCATATCCTCTCAAACCATGAAACAAAATAAGACTCTCTTCCCTTAAGTGGCCTCTTGTCAGGTATTTGGTCACAGCACCTAGAAAAGGAGTTAATGCAGCAGGGGAGCCCTAAGACATCAGTGGTGAGAGTAAGTAGTCCTTGAGTTCCCTCATTGCATCCCAGGAAAATACCTAGATGTCTATGCAGTTTCCTAAGCAGCACCTGAACCACTAAGGAGTTCAATGAGCCCAGAACACCCACCTATCAGCCAGGGAAGATGTTATCACACAGGGTGCACTCTCCCATCTCCCTTCCCTATAGCTAGAGAAGGTCACGTGAGCTCCTAACTCTGGAGCTTGCTCCTTGCCCTCCTAAAACATGGAACATATTCAGTACGTGATCCAAGAATCTTTGGTGGCCCACTCACCTCTTCTTGTAGTCCTCTACCACATCCCTCATGCTCCTCAGCTCCGAGTCCAGCCTCAATTTTTCCCCAGACAGCAATTCTAGCTGTTTCCGCAGACTGCTGATGTGGCCCTCGTAAATGGGCTCCAGGTTCTTCCTGCAGCTGTTCAGGTCCAGCTGCTGCAGCAGCTCCCACTTGGTCTCCAGCACCTGGTTCTGTTGCTCCAGGAAGCGTACCTGCAACCCAAACCAACAGCCACCTGGAACTACACAGATCCTATCATGCCCCATAGACATATGCCATTGAATTCCCAAGAGAAATGAATTTTTTGCAAAATCCTCTGAGTCAAGCCCCGACTGTCCACTCTGAGAGACCCTTGTCAAGTGTTTCTTCCCAGCCTTCTGGACCACCATTCATGGAGAGCTTTTCCAGAGCCTTCTGGACCACCATTCATGGAGAGCTTTTCCAGAGGCAGACTCACAACCTTCTTCTATGACTTGACCCTGGCCCCAGGAGCCAAACTCCCTTAGGTCTGATCTAAGTGTGCCTTTCTGTGCTGTGAGTCCTGCCCTCTGATTTGTGCTTTATTCTCTCAGCCCTTTGGGTTCTTTGGAGACATGGGGATCTTCCAAGGTGCCCTTCAAGAGCCAACACTTCATTCTCAAACTAAGACTACCTCTAGCAGGTTTATCAGCTTCTCTATAAGATCCCCAGTGATGGGAACTTTCATTTATTCCCCCATTCTATGTAAATCTGTTCTTCCTCCCTTGCGATGAGGGACCACCCACCCAGGCCCAGTCACACCCATCCATCCATGTTGCCCAGGCCACAGGGAAAGTGCTCCATCAGACTGCCTGATGCCCTCCTATAAGACTCACCTTGTCAATGAAGGAGGCAAATTTGTCGTTCAGAGCCTTAATCTGCTCCCGCTCCTGAGCACGTATTTTCTGGATCTCTGGGTCCAGCTCCACACTGAGGGGGGCCAGCAGGCTTTTGTTGACACTGACATGGTGGATGCCCCAAGGTAGACACACAGATGGACAGGTGGGTCCCAGGGTCACACTGCCAAACATGCTACCAGCAAAGCCACTGGCCCGACCTGCTCCATACCCAGAGCCATGTCCTAAGCTGTGCCTTGTAGCCCGAGCACCGCTGCCTGCCACATTGAAGGAAATAGGCCGGTTGCCTCTAAGACTATAGAGGCTCCTGCTGCCAAAGCCTGTCCCAGCCTCATGACCAGAGACCCAGTAAGAAGCCACACTGCCCACAGTCTTCCTTGGCACCACTGCAGAAAGCACACTGAAGTTGCCCTTGTCACCACTGGACCTGATGTTCAGTTGCCGACTCATGGTGGAGGAGGTGGAGCTGACAGAGTTGGAGACACACAGTAGCCGAGGGCTGGAGAGCACAGACTGGGGTACTAGAGGGCTGCCCCCTTTTTATTCCTGCTGAGCCAGGACACCGGAAAAGGGCGTCTCTGCACTATCTCCTTGCCCTGCTGTAGCGCTGGGGCAATTTGCAGAGCATAGATCTCCAAGCCTTTGAGCAACAAAGCCTTTTAGATAGTAAACAGAATATGCTGCCTTTGCACACTACAGTGGTCTAATTTGGAATTTATCTGCTCCCTAATTAGGGACTTGCAGAGCTATCCCCCTTCGGCAATCTCTTAGCTTTCTTTTTCCAGGCTGCCTCCTTGCCTACCTACCAACAAGGTGCAGGGTAAATGCCTGCCTTTAGCCAAGGTGGCGTCCTCTGAACACCCCAGGCTTCCTCTCCAAAGAAACCATCTCCTATCATCTGGTCTTGTTGAGGAGCAGAGTACAGGGAAAGGAGATGGCTCTTCTCTGTTATTAAAGGTCTGGATCCAGAAAGAAGTTCTATGAAGTCATCCTTTGGGTTATTCTAAGGACCATAGCTGTCCAGTAATGGACAAGCCCCAAGAAGAAGGTAAAAATGATGTCAGTCTGCCTCCGACACAAACACTGTGTGAGCTTTGTGTTCTGGGCAGGGAAAGCCTGGCATAAGATGACCTCAAAGTTGTCCTTTCAACAGAGAGAACCTTCTCCAGCAGCTGCCATTTCCTCCACTGGAATTTTTTCTCCTAGCTGAGATTACCTGTCCATCCTGAAAGCTCAAGCAGGAACTGAGCTTTAACCCATCTCTAGAACACATCCTGGCTAAAGTTAGTCAGATGTAGTAACTCCTAGGTTTCACTCCTGGACTCCCAGGGTGTTATTCTGCTGATTTCCTGATAACTTCTGGGAACTGCTCAATTTTAGCGCAAAAACTATGAGTCCTTGAGAAGTTAGGGAGTCCTGATGGAGCGGAATATTTTTTTTAAGTATCTCAAAACAAGGTATCTGGCAAGTTTCCCACTGCAGGACACTGTCCACATAATTACATTAGGAAGGTTTGACAAGCTCTGATCAGGTAGAGGGTGGTAAACTGCTGCTTCTGAGGAGAGGTGGACAAAGAGGAGAGGACAAGCCGGGGTGAGAGGAAGAAGGGCAGGGATGTAGGCCTCCTTGGAGGACCACCCCCAGGAATGAGGCAGGAATGGGTGCTTCTTCTCCAGGGGCCCTGTGTGTCCTAGCTTTCCTGGTAGAGCCTGGCCCCAGGGACCGGGGGCATAATAGAAATGGTGGCTCGGGGTTTTCTAAGACAGATTGCAAGGGTGGCAGACTCTGACTTTGCTTCCTTTTCCGGTGTGAGAATGTCAACAAACTATGTAAGGTCCTTGACCGGGGATGACCAATATATAGTCCCAGGTCAAGCAGTGAAGCCAAGGCCTTAGAATTACTGAGGAATTCTGTAAACAGCTCATTGAGGTGCACTGAGGAGGAATGGCTGATTTTGACAGAGGTTTTAGGGACCTCCAGAAGGCTGGACTCATGTCCTTAAGAGCACTCATCACAGGGGCTGGCCTAGACTAGCAGGGGTTGAAGGATTATATACAGGATCAACAGCAATGGCAGGAACAGTAAGACCAGTTGCATTAACAGAGACATTATGCCAAGTGCTACACAGGATACTATTTTGTTAAAAACATGGTCTCGATATATAGCGGAGATAGGCCAGGAGCTCTAGAGTCTCCTACTTCAGTCTCCCGAGTGCTAGGAGTGTGCCGCCACTCCTAGCAGGGGAAATCTATTTTAATGCATGCATTACTATTTACAGTTGAAGAAACAGAGGTTTAGACATTATGAGACTTGCCCCAAATCACTCAGCTAGTTAAGTCAGAACTGGAACAGAAGTTCAAGTGTATCTAGTTTCAAAGCCCATTTCCCTAACTGCCATGTTCTGTGAATGAGATGAAAGTTAGAGGCAATGAAAACAAATCCTGAGTCCATCACTCTCGAGTCCAGCCTAGGCAGACGAAAGAAAAATGGGGGGGAACCCAATGGAGGGATGCTTTTGGATGCTCTCGTCAAGAAATTCCAATGGACTCCGATATGAACATTTGAAATTAGCCCTGTTTTTCCCCAAAAAAAAGTAGCCAGTTTCTTGGCTAAAAGTCAAAAAGTCCTTGGGCCTCTTCGCAACATACTCTGTTCCAAAGGCCAAAAATGTCAAACATATTTGAGAGCTCTATCTAATCCCTAAAAGATTTTAGGGTTACCTCTTCGGAGGGGGGAATGTTAAAGTAGCAAAAAGCTCCATTAAAGAAAAGAGAACGTGAAGTTGTTCAGGAAAAAATGATGAAGAGATACGGGACGAGCTGGAGGGGAAGGAGCGGTCAAAACACCTTATAAGAAAAAATGATGAAGAGATACGGGACGAGCTGGAGGGGAGGGAGTGGTCAAAACACCTTATAAGAAGTATGAAATTCTCAATAAATTTTTTTAAGTTAAAAGAAAAGACAGAGGCAAAACCATAGAGATTCCTGATGCATGTAACAGGTATAGCAAAGCCCCTCGTGAGATGTGTGGTGTGAGCGGAAGAAGAGGTTGCTGTGGAACCAAGGCTCAGGTCAGCAGCTGCTTAAGATAGACATCGTTGTAGAGAGTCAGTCAAAATAAGGATGTGAAGATCGAGGGAAAAGACCCACTTTTGTCTGAAAGGCTATTTTATTCTAGAACCTCCAGTAGCTGGCTCTCTGTCATCTCCAGATCCAAAAGGGAAATAAACCTTGTTCTGATTGTTTGAGATTTCAGGGCTGAATTGTGCATCTTTACTGCCTGGCTGAATGCGAGTATGGTAGCAGAGCTGGAGCTCTCACTGAGGACCTCACAACGGAGCATTGGAAAGCTCACAAAGCAGGACAGGCTGGATCCTCCAGGCTAGAGAAACCTAGGGCACAAACAGCAGATTTCCAGGTGTCCAGGACAATGTTACTAAATGAACTGAGACTGCTTATGCTCTCCAGCACAGGGACCTGGGTATCTGGCACACTTCGTGTTCATTCTCAAAGCAGTCCTGAGTCTGGGGTGGTCAGCAAGGGTGTAATGGTGAAGCCCGGGGTGATTGTAACAGGGAAGGGAGGGACAAAATGGAATTTCCGGACAGCAATGGGCGTAATCGTGGCCACATAGATGTGTACCTCCTAACTGATTCCTAGGAGATGAAATTGCAGGAATTGCCTTTGGCCTAAGGATCTCACCTAGTCCCACCCTGCACCATGCTGGATACCCTTCAATTACTCGTGGCCCCCTTTCGAAGTGAAGCCTGGAGAGATTGATTCATGCAATGGGTATGGAACTGAGCCCCTACTGTGTGTAGACTTGAGAGAGAAGCTAACCAAGCTGAAGGAGACAAGTTTATACACATGAAATATGTGCTGTTGAGGTTGTTACAGCTTTAATTCTACCTGCTTGTGACTCAGACAAACTGTGAGTGATTTTCTTGGGAAAACACACCAAAAAAATCTATTTATCTCAGAAAAGGAAGGAGCTGACAGATCAAAGAAAGATTCTATCAAGTCCACCTTGCCAAATGAATTGGTTTATTGGGGTTACTTATGGGGACATAGGCAATTCATGAGAACCTGTGCCAAAATTGGAATGCCCCACAGTAGTCCATCATTTCCGGTAGTACCTGGGATGTTGGGGGTGGGGGGCTGAGGAGCTCATGAAAGTCTTTAGGTATCATGAGAGTATGGTGAGTCTCATGAGTCTTGTGACCCTCCCTTTCCCTCTGAGAGAATGTCAATAGGCCACTGTGAGGGTCTCTGTGGGTCACCACAGCTCTTCTGCTTCAGAGTAATGGTCATGTCCAACTGGAAGGAAGCAGGTACAGCTATACAAGCAATTAACTAAAATCCTTCTAATTCTTTAAATAATTACCTTAAAGTGCGTATTGCAAGTTTTTACCAGCCTTGAATTGAAAATAGCAAAACAGAGTTTGGACTTCCCAGGGTGAGTTGAAATATAGAAGACTGGACAGTCTAGACAGGCGCAGGGAGGACCAGGCAGGCTGCAAATGGTCCTGTTCTCCCTGTAAACAGTGTGGAGTCACAGGGGGATCCTGCAGGGAGTGACCTCACAGAGCCTGTAAGTAGGCTCCATGTTGCCTGAGATCGTCAGGCAATATAGGCACCCTAGGGAGCCCCAGTAAAGTTGGGTCCACTGTGTTCTGATCTGCCTCCATCTTAGAATGTTCTGGGAAGGCGAGAATCCAATTACTCCACACCAGAGAAAAACAGAACATAGTCCTAAATGGGACACCATAACAATCCCAAATAGACTCAGCTGAGATCACACCAGCTTGGTTTGCAGGGGATAATGAAGATCACATTTCTCCAGCCCTTTGATCTACTGACTGACCCTGGACATAGAACAGCAGTTCAGAGCAGATTCTGTAAATTAAGCTCATTCATGGAGAGAGGAAGGTGCTTGAAAGATTCCTGAGTTAACTGGGGTGATAAAAACCTGATGATGAGCCACCTCAGCACCTTAGAGCTGGAGAGGACCTGATGCTGGGTCTCCTGCTGCCCCTCACCAGATAATCTCAGTGCTGAAACCCAAATCCTGCCACCCATCCTCGGCATGAGGGCCTTCTTCCCCCTCTTTGCCCAAAGTGAGGCAGCTCCCTCAAGGGAAGCCATCTTTTCTCCATTTGTCTCCACACTCCCCCTCCAAGCTCACCACCTTCCTAACATTAACTTTTTTGACGTCTGGAGGATCCAGTTCCATGGAAGAGGGGCATGGACCAGAGAGGCAGGTGAGGCCCGCTGCTATGATTTGGGGCTCTGAACCTAGGTGGTGGGGCAGAGTCAGAAAGGATGAAAAACAGAGAGATGAAGGGTCTGTTAGTAAGAAAGAGGAGAAACAACCCTGAGAACAGAAGAACCCATACTATTTTGGTGAAAAACTAGGTTTAAAAAGTTAAAAACTATTTCAGTTGGCCCAAGAATGAGGGGTCATCCAGGATAAGGGCCTTCAGAGCTACCTCCTGGGAAGTCCGTC